TAGTAAAAATATTGTATGGGGGAAAAATCTGTCGCGTACGTTATTATAATTTTTTTTAATAAAAACTAACCAGAGATAATTTCTATTAAAAAATGGAAGGATTGTAAAGGTACATTATCTAGCTTAGTTTAGGAATTTTTAAAGAAAAGAAAAACTCTCATGATTCGCAGACTTTCGCATATATGTATATGTGCCTTAAAACCACTTTTTGTTTTGTCGCGTAAGTTATCACCTTGTTTTGAACGGATATTTTCCACACCAAAGTTTCGAGGCTGCTTATTTTTTTCTCAAACATCCCAGCAAAAAACACGATTACCATAGAAACGAATGTGGAAACGAGCTAGGCGATGGGACCCAGCAAAAAACACGNAGGACATTCTACTTTGCATTACCGACAATGCCTAAAAGAAGCGAAAAAATTCGAAGGCATTATAACGCTATGCCTTCTAGAACACGTTACCACTAAAAGCAATTACCGATTTTTTGCTGGGATAGTACCCTTTAGTTGCAACATAACCGTAATTTTTTTTTTCAGTAACTTCTATTTTTGATAGATTTACGTTACTCTATAAGCGTACGAATGTCGCGTACGGCTGTATGGAAACACCCATATGTAAACACATGATTATTATCTGAATAAGTCGAATCTTGAGTTGCCATTTTAGTAGTAATAACTTTAGTTAAATAACCATATTGAGCAGAATAAATGTATTTGTTTATACTATTTTTCAAAGATTTAATTATTGTATGTATACAGAAGTTAGTTAGTAAATGTTAAAAATAACCAAAATGGGAAAGATCTTAACAACTTCACAGGCAAGAAAAAATTAACCAAAATTGGTTAAAAGTAACCTACACGCCAACACTGGCTACCATCCCTGCATGGAGAAATTCATTTTGCTATTAAGAGTTGCTTGTCGGTATGTAGGGCATTGATCAGTTCAGTGGAGTGCACTTGTTCGGATTTTAGAGCCGCAATTTCACGTAGCATGTTGGATAACGTTAGTTGCTTATTCTCTTCATCAATGTCACTACATATTATTGGCGAAGACCTTTGATTGAATTGATTACACTGTGAGACAAATGGTA